AAATTAAACAGCATTAGTGTATATATTTTTACAACGCAATAAAAAAAATAAACAAGGGAGTACGTACTTTTTTGTGAGGCTTTTTCGAGGCACAATTGAAATTCAAGCCAACTATATACATACGTAAATAATGCTGAAAATTCTATGGTGAATTCTCGAGTGGAGACAACGTGAAACGCCTAAATATACCAATGAGCACAGTTTTTATAAGTAGCAATAGTTTTCATTGACTTATCAAGGATATAAAAAAGGTATGTAAACTAATAAAAAAACCGCATTTAAAAATATATTTACAGTCATGACAACAGTGGCCAATCAATAACAAAATATATATTTTGTCCGCCAACTTGTTACCTTTTACATACATTCAATTAAACATGCATAACAAGCCAAATCCCGTCCATGTACCGACCTCTTCGAATACCTTTTGTGGTGTCATCGTACTTGAATACATATCGTCGTTTAAAGTGCAAAATCGCGTATCTTCATTCTGCAAAACCTAGTAACTGACATTTGCTGTCAAAAATTGGATTTGCTCACTGAAGCTCTTGGCTCAATCCTTATCCATTCGTCCTGAAATATACTAGCCAGTAATGCGATTGCCTTATAAAAAAGAAAACCATTTTGAAATATGCGTGTTTTTACTCCCTCGAAAATAATTTATGCAACCTCACATACGCGGTTTTGTATTTTAAACGACGATATGTATGTTTGTTTGTATACATGTAATTTAACCACCAACAATACCCTTGAACTGGCCAAAGTTTCTTACACTGGCGAGCGTCCACTGTAACATTTTCCGAGGCCGTTAAACGGGAGGTTGTTTGGTGAATGAGGAAAGTTACGAATGTGAAATACGCACTTCCGCTGCATTGCTGTGTGGTGCCGTCCTTAAGTTCTCCCTGTACACATATAATTCATGCCTACATATACTAAACATATGGGCATTAATGTTAGCAATAGCCATCAGAATCCTTCCGTTTCATACTACTGCAACCGCTTTGCAGCTCAACTAGTTTTTGAATTGTCTGAGCATCTGTTATCTTTTAACTACTGCCTTTCAAAATACTACCCTGCCCACCTTAGGCTGGGTACCATATATTAGTAAAGATAACAAATCAAATACATTTTTTAATTAGATACGAATAATTTTTTAGATAATTGCAGACATTTGAAATAAATTTCTGGTATTTTCCAAAAAGTAGAAGCATTCAAACGTAAAAATTGTTTTTCTTTCATTATTCAACGTAAATAAATAAAAAACTAGAGCTTTTTTAAAAAATCGCCACGGATAAATCGACGCGAAATTTGAATAACTTATTTAAAAAAGAAATTTGAAGTCGGTTAATATTTGGGCTCTCAAAATTGATTTGTCCACATCAAGGCACATTAAACAGGTAGTATCAGTAGAGCAAAAACAACATTTGCGTGTATTTTGTTGTTGCTTCTGGTATCGAAAGTGTCAAAAACTGTTCTGAATTTTTTCTTCTAAATCAAAGCGTGCCATGTGAAATACAAAAAATTATAAAAAATAAAAAATTGAAATTGGAAAAAATAAAAATTGATGCAACTTTCTTTCCTAGTAAATTTGTTTGCTTCTCGAAGCATTGATCCATCCTTTGCAAGGCCCAGTAATCAGCGGTCGTGCTGCTGAGTTGGGCGAACGTTCCAAAAGCTGCTATTCAATCGCTTGTTTTGTATGGAAAAAGGTTTCACATGCAAATGGATTTTAACAATTCAGAATTTTTGTGAGAAAAAATTAAAAATATTTGACATTTTCGAGACCAAATAATTTGAAAATAAATCAAATCAGCTGCTCTACTGATACTACCTGTTCAATGTACCTTGGTCCACATCAACCTTTTTTGCCCCACTGTGCGGTGCTATTCAGTTTCTTCCATATAAAAAAAAAAAATTAGCATGCTTTTTATGGAAAAAACGCAACACGTTCAATGGAAAAATTCTCAAAAATCAACGTTAATTTTGAGTCACTTCAAACGTGAGAGATTTAGTGGGCTATAAAACTGCATACTCGAAAGTTTTCAAAAAAATTTGTGTAAGTTTTAAAATTTGTATGACATTTTTTCGATCATTGTTAAATTTTGTAGAACGAATTGGAACGGATGAAAATTTGATTGTATGGTTTTTGTAGTAAAATAAGCTAAATTTTTATTAAAAAAATAACTAAAATGAAATATGTAACAGGAAATTTAATTGTCAAAACTTGTCGATACGTAGCGCTGCTATTTTCGTGAACACTTTTGTATGTACCAAGCAACATTGAACAAGTAGTATCAGCAGAGCAGCTGATTTGATTTTTACGCGTGGTCACCGAAGTGGGAGAAGGGGTTGAAAATTGCAAAAAGTGGGTCACGTAGTATGGGTACATTCCCTTATGTACATGTGTGCGTATTTCCATACCAAAAAAAACTTTCGAACATACTTTGAATGGAAGAAAATGCGTGAAAAAATTGCCAAGAACAACCACCCAGCAAACATTTATGTTAGTTA